GCTGAAGTGAGATGACCAAGGGAATGTCACCCTTGGGAAGTGTCACCCCACTGTGGCTCCACCCCTGCCGCCCACAGAAGCGGCCTGCAGCAAATGTGGCTGTCCTCTAAGCGCAAGAAGTGTGAGGAGCGCCACGGCTGGAGGGCGGGAACAACCGCACTGGTCAAACGAGGCGCCTAGGAACTCTCCCGCAGATGCAGGTGTTGCTTAGGAACCACTGGTGCAGCGGTTCTCAACCTGTGGGTCGCCAGCCCTTTCATGGGGGCCACCCAATTCATCACAGTAGCAAAATCCCAGTGATGAAGTAGCAACGAAAATACTTTTATGGTTGGGGGTCGCCACAACATGGACTGCATCACAGGGTCTCGGCATGAGGAAGGTTGAGAACCGCGGCACTAGTGGTTTAGGAACTACTACTAAATCCAAGAGGGCCGCCGGACTGATTCCAACGTTTAGCAGTCCATTGGAAGTTCTATGGAAAACGAACTCAGACATCAGTTCTTATCCATGGTCCAGTTTCACCCGTGCACGAAGCAATTGAAAGTACTATGGCTTAGGGCAACTGGTTCATGGAAACATTGCACTTCCATTCTGTCTTTCTGTGAGCCTTGAGCACACCACCAACCGAAACAGTGTGGGGGAAATAGACTGCAGACCCTGGGCAGACGTGCTGCACCAGGGCGCCTTTCCCACCTGGGGTTGCTAGTGAGTCAGCTGCTTGTCACCCGAGCCCGAATTGAGAGCAGCGACTTCCTTGGGAAGGGAGCTGGGACTGGCCCAGGCTGCTGATGCTGCCCCCACAGGCTCTTGCAGCGGCAGCAGCAGCACTTTTTCTGGTGTCTTCAAACTCTTTAGCCCGTTTCAAACCCAGCAAACTGAAGAGGCTCCCGAGTGATGGTTCCCCTTGCAGGCCGGGTTTACACTTCAGTCTGCAGTGCCTGGGGTGGCAGTGCACCAGGCTCCAGCGAGCGTACATCCTGGAGGCCAGGAGTGGGTCTCGCCACCAGTGCCGAGGCTGCCGGGCGAGGCCACTTTCACTGGCTTTCTCAAAAGTCCCCTGGAAAACCCCAGCTGCCGGCCTGCGTGTCTGACCCGGACGTGGCTGCTGCTCGGTGAGAATGGAAACAGTTGCAGGGGAGTGGCAAGAGGAGCCGCTGTGAACAAGTAACCACACTTGGGCAGCCTCAGCACCACACTGAGTGAGGGCCCTAACTGTCGGTCGCACAGGAAGTGAAAGACAGGCACCAGTGCTTGTGGGGGTGGGGCGGCCTGTGGCAGCCACTTCTGGATTCTTCCGTGGACTCCTGCACCCAAGGGAGGCTGCTGCCTCCTCCAGGCCTTGACCCTCCATGTGGTGGCGCTTCGCAGGCCAGACAGAAGAAATGTGAAGAAGGCAGGGCCCCATGCCCTGTTGGAAGCCCAAAGAAGCTCGAGGCAGAGACCATGGGTCAGGACTCACCGGGAATGAGGTTCTCAAGGGCTGGTACTGCTGCCCGTCACTTGGCAGCCCTTGTGGGCCGTGTGTTCACTCCGCCTCTCTGAGCTCATCCTTAGTGTCTGCTGATGTTCAGAACCTACTCGGGAGGCCACGGCTTGTTTCGTCGTCGTTTGTAGTCCAGCAAGGTTCTCTAGTTCAAGGACAGAGTCAAGTCAGAAGCCAGGAACAGTGGCCTAGCTGCCCTCTTACCTGCTCCCCGCCATACTCCACTGCCCACCCACCACCTGCTGTCCCAAATCTCGAGTCATGGTAGCTGGTGAACGAATGCAACCTCCAGCCCAGGGCAGGGATTGGGTGAGCAAGAGTCAAAATATTCTGCACTTAAGAGGGAAATCCTTTCTCTAAGGATACTGGACGTGGGCTGATGAAGTCAGGCCTGAGTTCACCGGCTTTGGCGAACTGCATTTTTTTTCACTTCCGCTCATCTCTCTAATCCACTCCACCCTCCCCAAGCCCCCACCCAGGCCCTTGATCTGTGCACGTGTGTTTCAGACAGATAATGCTTAAGAACAGACGAATGGTGTCTCAGTCCTCTGGAAGTCAGCTGGGTGTTGATCATTACTGTCTTTCCCTGTGTCATTTTACCATTAGCCAGAGGCTTTCACATCCACTGTCTCCTACGAGCCTCACAAAACCTCCATGCGTGTCAGTTAACATCCGGCTTCATGATGGGGGACTGAGGTTCAAAGAGTTCATGTGATTGGGCCACAATGAAGTTACCTGATCTGGCTCAAAACGTACAGTGCCCATACCCAATGGAAGGGCTGCTGAACCTGGCAGTTCTCCCCAGAGGCACCCACAAACCAGAAGACATAAAACAGAACCATTAGCTTAATGGTGAGTGAAAGTTACGTATCTGTACACTTTGAGCCCCACCAACCTCCTCACCCCCCACCATCATCTCGGAGTGGAAATGGCCCAGGGCGGGGATCTTTGAGCTTACTAAGGAAACCCTGGCCAGAAGACTGGGAAACTCCCTCTTCTCTGGTGCCCACCCGCCTGTACCTTCCATTCCCCTGGGCCCCCAGCTTCTGATCTCTACATCTGCTTTTTTTCTTCCCTCCCGGGCGGGCTCCCTTCACCTGCTGCCCTTGCCCCTTTGCATCTTCGTATCTCACGGGCACGGAGACGCTACGTCTGTCAGCGATGAAAATGTGTACCTATCTAGGGCCAAGTCCCTGCCTCTCAGCCCTGCCCCATCACTCACAGACTTGACTTCCAAGCTACTTTATTTCTCCAAAATGAGGTGTCTTCTCTAAGAGATGCAGTTACAAAGCTCCGGTGTTAGACGCCAGGACCACAGTTAGCAGGTGGCGGAGAGCAGCAGCCGAGCCATGGAGAGGCCTGTGGAGTCGACGACAGTCTGTCTCTCGATCTGACTGCATCAGTCCGCCTTCGAAAACACATTGAGCTACACATGTACCTAGACGTGCTCACTTTCCTGTGTGCAGGCTACTCTTCAAATAACTGGTCTGTTTGCAAATGCACCTGCCTGAGGTAGTTGTGTGAGTCAAATACATTCATCTCCATCAAAGCCGTTGGAGAACTGGGACCTACCAAGTACTGTTATTATTAGTCACATTTTCAGCGTGTGTGTGTGTGTGTGTGTGTGTGTGTGTGTGTCTGCCCCTCTTCCAGTCTTCTGAAATGGAAATGAAGGCATGGCTGTAAGAATTGCTGTCTGGTGAGCCAGGAAGGCTTAGGGTTAGGAGAAAAGTACGTGGCTGGCTGCTGGGTCTGGGGAAGGAGGGTGAGGCCAGAGCGTTGAGGCTGAAGGAAGAGTAAAACCAACCCTACACTCCAGGGCTGAGAGTGTCACTTTATGGGTGAGAGGACCGAGCCCCAGAGAGGTTGCTGACGGTGGTCTGATCTCTGCATGCCCTCTGCATGCCTCTGCCACCACTATTCTTCACCTGGTAACCATTGTCCTGGTGTCTAACACTCGGCACGTTTTGTCTAAAGAGGCTTGTTTCTCAGCTTCAGGATCCCAGGCAGCTGGCACCGAGGGCACAGGAAGCGCTTCCTGGGCTGCTGGCACCAAGATGCCAGCCCCTCTGAGAGAGGAAGGAAGACAGCTCCTCTTCGCAGCCTCCCCTTCGGGGAGGGCAGACCTGGGGGCCTCGCTGACAGAGGGCTCTAAGCCGAA